AGGTAATCGTAATTTAATACGGAGTAATGGCATATCACTGATAGGGAATACCTAAATTTAAAAGTACTCATCTATTACAAGTATCATAAAGTGTTTGCAATTCTTAGACAATCATTAATTAAAAAATTAATTTATGTCTTTACTATGTAAAACTCTTTTGATGTATAAGATGTATTTAAATAGAGTAAATTCCATAAAAATCCCCAGATACAGGTCGTTTTACATATTTAGTCCTTACATATCAAATATTACTAATTTAGTCTCCAATTATTATATCATTTTTTAAATGGTCCTTTGTTAACGTTTTTGTTAAGGACATGGTAAAATTGCATATTCATACTTCTCTCTCTCCTCAATTAAGCTTCCTTCCTCCTCTCGTATTCTTTCCCAAACTCGTCACTGAGTTTGAAGCTCTAAACCCAAAACTGAAATGATCATTCCTCTCTCAATTATTAGTCTTCTTGGCGGAACCTAAAATCAAAACCATTAAGCTTTATGAATGAGTTTTATTGGTTAGTCTCAAGAAATTGCAAAGAAAAACATTAAAACTCATCCATGAAGGTTATTGGTTTTGAATTTGGGTACCACCAGTTAGACAAACAATTGAGAGAAGAGTGATGATTTCGATTTTGGGTTCAAAGCTTCAAACTCAGCGACAAGTTTGGGAAAGGAGTGCGATGGGAGGGAGGAAGCTTAATCCAGGAGAGAAAGGAATGTAAATTTACAATTTTACCCACGTTCTTAACGGAAATGTTAACAAAGGACCATTCGTGAAAATGAATATAATAATTGGGGACTAAATTAGTAATATTTGACATGTAGGGACTAAATATGTAAAACGACCTATAACTAGAGACCTTTTATGGAATTTATTCATTTAAATATTTCCTTTGCCCCAAAATGAACTTTACATTTTCCTTGTGCGTCTAAACTTTACACTTCTCCCATTACCTTTTTTACTATTTAAGAAAGGAACATGTGGCTACAAATCTCTTTTCTAAACAAATTTAAATAATACTTTTTCACTTTTTTCAACATTTTTATTCAACTAAGGAAAGCTCATTTTGGGACAAAGGAAGTATTGCATTAAGAGTAGCTCTCTCAATTCATTACAGACTACACACATGAAGTCAAGAACCACTTTCTTCATTTGAGGACCTTGGTTCTTATAGAATACACAAGTAGCAAAAGCAACAATCCTATCTGATCTCTTAAAAAAGTTTTACAAAAAGTCTGTACAAATATTAGTTTACATACTAAGCACTTCAACACCCCCCTCAAGTTAGTGTATATACATCATAAGTACCAAGGTTATCTCAAATGTAGGCTATTTGAGGTCTGCTATGGACCTGGTGAAGATCATTGAAAGACCCCTGGCTCAAAAGCACAAAGGACAAAGGTTAGTATTTTTTCGTCATGGACAAAGATTAGTATAGTTCAACAAGTAAAGATAAACAAAAAAAGGAGGGATAGAAGAAAGAAGCTAAACACATACATTGAAAGGAAATTAAACCAAACAAGACCTACCCTATGATTCTAATACTCGTTATCCAAGTGTCCCTATCTAAGGTCACATTCTCAGTGAGTTTTTGAAGCTACTGGCCAGTCTAATCAGTAATCACCCTGCATTACCTCGTTCCAACTGTTCTTGAGTCTATCTTGACTCCTCAAATATCCCATCTCTAACCTTTCGTAAATCCTCACTAAAAAGTGTACTCCTCAACACGTGGTCAATCTAGCCTCACACATCTTACCCTCTAGAGATATCACTCTTACCTTGTCTTATCTTGAATATCCTTGTTTCATACTCTATTCGTCCTTGTGTTCCCGCAAATCCATCTCAACATTCTCATCTTTGTCACACTGCACATGTATGTTCTTCATCGCCCAATAATCTTTCCCATACAACATAACCTTTCTAACCACTAGATAAAACTTGTCTTTCAGTTTAGCGGATACATTTTTGGTGCTCAAGACACCTAAAGCTAGCTTCCATTTCATCTAGCCAACTACAATACGATGGATGGCATCCAATATCTCTCTTTTCATCAGCCTGGATGATAGATCCAATGCATCGAAACCTATCCCTTTTAGGTAAAAATTGAAAATCATCCTCACTTCTACTTTTGGATCCGTTATTTTTCTGAAACTGTACTCCATGTTCATATCGACACTTAGGAGTCTATCATCGACTCCCTGTTTTGTCAATTAAAGCAATATCGTTTGCAGAAAGCATGAACCAAGGTACTTTCCCTTGAATATACCACGTCAATTCATCCATTACCAAGACAAAAAAAGGACTGAGGGCTGACCTGGTGTAGTCCTAAACTCTTATCTCTACCAAGTAGTGTTCCCAGTCTCAGTTTCTTCCACAGGACCTCCCTATGGAGTATGGATTCAGTCATAGGCTTTCTCGAAGTCAATAAAAACTAGGGTAGGTCCCTCTTCCTATCTATATAGTGCTCCGTCAACCTTCTTAAATGTGAATGGCGCATGTGGTCGACCATCCTAGCATTAATCTGAATTAATTCTCAAAAACAGTCACCTCTTTCCTCATCCTCATCTCTACTACGTGTTTCTCGACCTTCATGGTGTGTTTGAGTAATTTAATGCCCTATAAATATTACAATTTCGGATATCACATTTGTCCTTGTGCAATGGGATCACTGTGCACTCCCTCCACTCTACGAGCTTCTTAGCCGTCTTGAAAATGAATTAAACTTAGTGAGCCACATGCCCACATCAACCCCTCTTTGCCAACCGTCTTCTAAAGCTCAACCAGGATCTTGTTTGGTCCCATAGCTTTTCCCCTCCTCATCTTGCCAGTAGCCAACTCCATCCCCAGCCTAATACGCCGCTAGTAGTTGAAATCTCGACGAATCTGAGAATACCCCAACTCACCTAACACAGAACCTTTGTCCCTTCCACACTTAAAATGCTATGGAAATATGACTGTCATTCATTCCTAGTGGCTATTGCTTCCAAAAGTACTTTTCTATTTTCATCTTTCACACATCTCACTTGTTTTAAATCCTATTTCATCCTTTCTCCTCCTTTCTCTTCAAGATCTTTAATTCTTTATAGATATGTTCAAAAGTCATTGCTTTAACGGCTGATATCGCTAGCTTAGCCTCTTTCATCACAATCTTACTCCCATCGTGGTTCGGTCTCCTCTTCTCATCATCTTCACTCCACAATCTTCTTGTATACTGCTTTTTTGGCTTTCACTTTTCATTGGGCTTTGTTGTTCCATCACCAGTCCCCACTGTTGCTGTTTGAGTTACCTTTCGCGCTCCCTAACTCCTAACACTTCCTGAGCAACCTTCGTCCCTGATGGAGTTGACAATTTTAGAGAACATGGCGTTAGCAACTTAGCATCCCCGCTAGTCGTCCAAGCACCCCTAGCTTATACCTTCTCCACTAGCTCTTGAATATTATTCTTATCCAAGCCCCTTTGCCAAATACAAGGTACACGGTACACCACTCAAAGCTCCCCTCTTTCTCTCGCATCTCACTGAAAAATCCATTACCAATAGCTTATGTTAGGTCGTTAGGATCTCACTCGGGATTACTTTCGAGTCCTTGCAAAGACCTATATCAAACTTCCTACGGTGCTTTTCAACACTGGAGTTAGCCATGAGTCGGTCACCTAGACACTTGCTCTAGCAAAACTCCAAAGAGAGACACCCACCAAAACCAGACCCTCTGGGTACCCATCAACTGAGGGCCCAATGTGACCATTGAAATCGCCTCTTATGACTAACTTCTTTGACAGCATGATATCTCTAACTACTCCTAAGAAGTTTCTCTTGACTTCCTCGTCAAGGCCTATTTGGGACGCATAAGCGCTAACATTTGATAGTTCAGTGGTCACCAACCTGCCACTAATCCTCGTTACCACAATCACAATCTCCTTATTAACCAATATGCCAAACCCATTCTTTCTAATCAAAGCACCCGAGTACCACAGCAAAAGTTGTCCACATCTTGGGTGTGTGCATGACTAATAATAAGATCAATATGGTTAGAAATCTCTAGCATCTAGATTTTTAGTTTTACAGCTTAACTAATATATGATAGAGTAGGCATTTGAGTGATTTGATCAAGTAGCTTCCGAGTAACAATTTAACAACTTAGGCAATAACTGAAATCGACCACACTTGGAAGTGCAGATACTATTCCTGGACTGGCTATTCCATGTGATTATTGTATAAATACAAGTAAAGGGATGTTTTTCATTTTCTAATAATAATATTTTAATGGTATTGGAATATGTAAAGATGATGTAAAAAATGAATAAAGAACAAGTTAGCCTTGAAGACTTAACATACTTTGCTTGTAGAGAGGATCTATCTAAAATAAATAGCTGGCCACATCTTAGCATTGGAGTTGTATTTTAGCTATTCAACCTGTAAAATTTGAAAAGGTATGCAATAAAATTGTTGCTTTGTCTTACAAACCCCTGTTTACCCTTCTCAGCAAAATTGTTGGCATGTGTGAAATTGCATTATCCTCATATGCACTTCATGAAGTTATAAAATTTGTTAATTTAGCTACCTCTGTGCATTGCCAGTGAAGCTAAAAGAGTAACTATTGACAATGTTTTATTTTGGAACACATAATGTACTGAATTAAAATGACACATTAAATTTCCCATGCTTCATACTTTCTATGAAGTGTGGGTAGTTAATGGAGAATGCACATAGGGTGAAACGGGAAAAGCCTCTCTGTTTTTTACAGGGGTAAGACTGTATACATCTCATCTCCCATAGCCAAACAGAATTGTACTTGGTTTTTGTTAATTTATCTATTTATGTATTGTTTTGTCTTTGGGGGAAATTTTACTTAACATGAGATCAATTGGAGCTTCATCTTGTAGTTTATGAATAAATTTTTATGCATTGATCTTTTTTTGTTTCCTTCTGATCGCGTTGATCTTTAAGGAATTTGGATGTATACTGATTTACTGACTTTTATGCTATCTTATGCATATGTCTGATCGTGCTGCTGGGCACATACATTTCATCAGGGTGTAAGTCAAATATACCCAGCTCTTTTATATAATACTCCGTATTTGAGGATATCTTGCTTCCATGTTCACCCTTTTCTACCATCTCACAGCCTATGTTCCATGACGGGATGAAAGAGTGGAGTTGTTGCAAGAAAAGAAGTCATGATTTCAGCTTGTTTCTAGAAATTCCTGGGTATGGATTTTGCATTCTTGTCTATATGTGGCTTTCCTTTATGCTGGAGAGGCCAACTTTCATGTTCTCTTTCACCAATGAGAAACTCTAGTTACTCTACCAGGTTAACTTAACCAATTAAAGACCTGAAATAAGGTAAGGTCTGCATACACAAACCCTCCCCACCCCACACCCTACTCTTTGCGGGATTTCACTGGGTTTGTTGTTGTTTACATCTTAACTTTTGGGTTGTTTTATGACCTAATATTTGGAGGCACGTAACAAGAGGGTAAGATTGGTGTCAGTGGTGCGTTCTCCCAATTAAGCTTGTCTTCTAAAAGTTCAACAAAAGATAACCTTCTTCTATTAGTGACCCTTAGCATATTGCTCATTAAAATTGTAACAAAAGGCTCTTGGTTTGGGGGGTTGCAGCCTTTGATGGCATCAACTTCCCTTGCAATAGAGGAGGTTGGTATGGGTGAAGGGAGTGAGCTGAAGTGGGCTTGATGAGTGGTGGCAAGAATGCAAGATAAGAGATAATAGAGTTTGAAACACCACAAGCTAGGCTTATAAATCTCTAGACTTGATCAAAATCTGTTTGCTGGAACACAAGGCTTTTCTCTTGATGTAAATTTTGGTAGGGCAAAACAAGTCTATTCAATGTGTTACTGTGTAGAATAGTGCACACACACACACACACACTAACTCTTTGTTGTTGTCATCTCAACTCTTTTGGGTTGTTTTATGACCTAATATTTGGAGGCACATAACAAGAGGGTAAGAATGTAAGATTGGTGTGTTTTCCTTTAAGCTGTGCACAACTACAATGCAGAAGGATTATATCTATTTAATATAGGTCTTGAATCATTTCAAAAATCAATGCGTATCAAAGGGAAAAACATACCCCTCCATCCAGCTGGCAAAACTATAATCCTTACTCCCCTGGCCCCAAATAAACTTCACTTTTGCTTGTGCACGTGCATTAAAATAGTGGAGAAGGTGTAATTGATATGCGTTTAAAAAGGAATGAAATATTATCAATCACACATTTCTTTCCATAAAAGGAATGGTAGATTGTATTTGTGACATCCAGTAAAGGAAAAAGTGAAGTTCAGTAAGCGAAACACGCAATAGTTTATTTCAATCATAATATTTTGTTTGCTTTGCTTATGAAGGTGCAAGACAGGGAAACACACAACAGAAAAACCAGTTTTAACGAAGCCAGCTGCTGCTCTGGGCCGACCAGTCCCCGCTTCAACTCCCACTGCAAGTGCATCTCCCAGAGAAACTTGTCCTAGGTGTCGCCAGGGTTTCTTCTGTTCAGATCATGGTATGGTATGCATATTTATTTCTTGAGTTAAGTTGGGTAAATACTTGTAATTGTTCATGATTCATAACATATCTAATGAAATGGTCTTGCCCTGAGGTTCCAAATTTGAGCTCATTTGAAACTCAATCTATCGATCTCTGTGGTTGGGTAACTGAAATCTGCTGTTTCCTTGTTATGTATGCTCTTAAAGGTTCTCAACTAAGACAGGTGAATCCAAAGCCTTCAAATACAGCAGCATTCACCAACTCTAATGAAAGTGTTCAAGATTTACCAGAGTGCCATCATCCCCCACCAAAGAAAAAAATTGACATAAACGAGCCTCAAATTTGTAAGAATAAGGGATGCGGCGAGACCTTTACAGAGAAAGAAAACCACGACAGTGCTTGCAATTATCACCCCGGCCCAGCTGTGTTCCATGATCGAATGAGAGGGGTGAGTCACTATGGGGTGTACCTTGTCCATTTTGTCATGTCTTTTGCTGCATTTATAGTTGACCAATGCAAAAGTCACAAACAAAGAAAACCACAAAATGCACAAACTTGTCATTTGTGAACCCACTAAAAGAATAAAACTGTCGCAAAAAATTTAAAAACGTGAAAACTTAAATTCATAAATGGTCGGTTTGTGCATTTTGTGGCTTTTTGTTTGTGACTTTAGCATTTCTCTTAATGGTTCGTAATGTTGTGTTTGTCGCATTGTAGTGGAAATGCTGTGATATTCATGAGAAGGAATTTGATGACTTCATGGCCATTCCGCCTTGCACGAAGGGATGGCACAATGCTGATCCAACGCCATGACTGGAAAGAAATGGGGATGAAATGAAAAATTCTTTGATCTGCCAACGTCATTTTTTCTCTTTTTGTGACAAAATTGTGTACCATTTTAGGAGATCTTTTGGTCAAATGTTCTTGGGACTTTTACATATCCTGAAACTAATTTGGTCAATTTCCTAGGTTGCAGCTTCATTTCTTCCTTACATTATGTTTGGTTCTAGGAATTTGATGGGGGGAAAAATGAAGACAATGATAAGGAAAGTAATTTCTTGTTTGGTTAGAAAGGAAGAGAAAAATAGAAAGAAAAGAATGTGGAGAAAATAAATTAAGGAGAGAGTAACGTTCTGAACCTCTTTCTTTTTCTTTTCTTCCGAATTCTGGGAGCCAAACATAGTGTTAAAAGTGAAACATTATGTGATATTGACGATGCATTCTTATTTTTAGTTTTGCTTTGATTTATACTAGATTCATACCCGTGCGTTGCACGATCAATAATACGTTGTAGAATGAGCATTACAAATTATTTAAGCTTTCCATATATGCAAATGGATTAATATTAGAAAATGATATACATTGAAATTGATGAGAAATTTTAAAACTGTTTTTCAAAATTGAAGTGAGAAAGAAGAGATTACATAACAAATTACTATGCGGTTCAAAGGGGATGAATTTTTTATAAACTACATTCATTGTCGAGCTTGCTGGTTCCCCATTTTCATCACATATTAATACTTTTAAACCACTACAATCTGTGACTCTTGATACTATAACATATAATTGTTCATGTCTGAATACAGACTTCTTGATAAGAATTACCACGCCAGACAATGATTGTCCTTGGCTTCTTGAGAAGAATTCCGCCTTAAGTGCTCACTGGATGCTAAATCCCATTTGTCCATGTATTCAGTTCTTGAACGAATACAACGTTCATTTTCTGGAAAAATAAATAAATAAAAGTTTTAAGTTTAAAAAAAGAATTTAAAATTGGAAATGGGTATGTAATTTGGTTAATGTTCGTACGGTGCATTAGTTTGGGAAAAAATATTCCTGCATATTTGGTTATTTAAAATATTCCTGTAATTTGGTTATTTTATCCCGAAGCTTCCTTTTTTTATTGTGACCGCGTATTCATTATCTTTCCCTCAGCTTTCTCTTCGCTTCACTCTTAGGAAATGATATAGGTAAGTTGGGATTTTATACATTTTTTCATCGTTTATTTTTCAAAGTGTTCTGAAAATTCTCACAAACACAAAGAAAATGTTATGTATGGAAGATTTAGCTTTACACAAAGTGCTCTTTATATAAAATGAATAGAAATCACAAATCACGATTTAGCTGGACATACATTTACAAATTTTTTTAGTGTACAACCATTTTATGGTATTAGCAAAGTAATACTTATCTAAATAAATATCTTGAATTCACATGCAAGTTTAAGAATTAAAATTCCCAATTTGAATTCCTTGGTTTGAAGGATACATGCAATGTTCCAATTTGAAAGCATTGCTTTCATGCATGCTTTTACGGAGTACTCCGTATTTTGCAAGTTCATACACCATTAAATGTGGAATGTGAAGGCAGCAGCATTGGCTCTTTGTGCGTCATTAGCTTGAGAATAGTATGAACAGATACTACCTTGTAATAGAGTCAATAGCATTCAAAAAAAATGTGGAATGTGAAACCATAATAATTTGGTCTAGTGACACGACACTTAGAGTAATGCATTTCACTAGAGCTGGCAAATCGGTCGGTCAGGTCGAGTTCGGGTTCGGTCAATTCGAGTTCAGGTTATTTCGGATCGGAGTCAATTTGGATTCGGGTTGAGAACTGTATGTTCATGACCCAGTATCATCGGGTTTGGGTTGACCCAACGGGTTATGACTTTGGTTTTTTAAATTTTTAAATTAACATAAACACTTACATTTTCTATTAAATAAATTTAAAATATTAAAAAATATGTATTAAATCTATTAGATTATTCTATTTTAAATTCTAAATTTTTTTAGATATATAAATCAATATAAGGAATTTAAAAAATTCTTAAGTTTCAGAAAAAAGTAAGATAATTATGCAATATCATTAAAATTTTGTCTAAAAATATAAATTTATACATAAAAAACGAGTAGTAAAGCGTATGACTTTGAAAAACTCCTACTTTAGCGTATGTACAATCGGCATTGCAAATATAATATACAAAATCTTCCGCCATTACAGTATGTTCTTAATTTTTAATTTTTAAAAACTTAATTAAATACCAAGGCCAATCACCTACGCCAAAATCTAAAACGGGTTCTTAACATAGTTGAAATCCGAAAGCAGCCATCTCCAATCTTCCACGCCAAAATCAACCACAATGGAACACGAGTCCAACTCTGAAACTTAACAAACAATTAAGAAATATCACTTCGTTTGGAACACATTTTAGAAGCTATTGGAGTCAGATGAAATTGAGTCAGATGAAATTGTGCCAACAAGAAGCACATCATAGACATTTCAAAGCAAGTTATGAAATTGAGCAGACTCTTAAATAAAATACAAACATTTTGCACCAATAACAAGCACTACACAGACATTTCGTAATAAGCATGAAAAATTCCCAATTACCACAAGTTTTTAACAAAAAATCAGCCATTGAAAAGATTAAAAAAAGAATTAAATGACTGAACAAGTTTGAGAAACAATGATTCACAAAAAAACATTTAAAAACGACTAATTTCACAAGAGGGAAGGATTGATTTGTGGTTAGAATTGAATGATTGAATCTAGCTTTAACAAATAAAAACCCTAAAATTGAAATAAAAAGTGTTTATTATAACCTTTAGTTTGCTGTTGTACGGTGGTCAGGGCGCAGAAGATAGAAGAAGATGAAGGATGAAGTCTCCGCCAAGTTGGATCTTCCACCGATGCACGAGACGGAGGAAGGCGAAGTAGGTAATGTCACTGCGGAAGAATGAGGAAGACGAAGGAGGAAAGCAGGGAGAAGGGCTGGTCTTCCGGTAGTTGCCCGCTCCCTGCTTCCCTGGAGAGATCTGAGAGAGAGAGAGGGAGAGAGAAAGAAAATAGGGAAGGGGTATAGAGAGAGAAGAAAGAGGGGGGTATATGGTATACAGATGGTGTACACAAATGGTGTACACATAGCCTTTTCCATACTACTAACAAAATCAAAAGAATTGGAGTAAAGAGGGAGGTGGTGTACATTTTGGAAAATGCTAGAAGTACACCAAAAGTGTACCCCAAACATCCCCACCCCCTCCATCACCACACAAAAAAGACAAGAAAAATTCAAAAAAAAAAGTAAAAAAAAACAAAATAAAATGAATAATAAAGAGGGGGGTTGTGTACATTTGGGGGTGTACCCCTAGAATATCCTTAGTAGTATAGATATGCTCGATCTTGAAATTTTTCAAAAATTTGAATCATATAGAATCAAACGGTCAAACCAAATGGTCTTTTAAATTCTCAAGATCTCATGTCGAACAATTCAAATTAAATGGTCTTTTAAACTTACTCAATTAATGTATCGTTCTATTTTTATTGTATTTATATAGGCCTTTTTTCTTTAAAAAAAAGTTCTTTCAAAAGAATTTACTCAATTAATTTTGAAATATTTGCATTAAATAGTACTAAAACTTAAATCATTTCCCTAAATAGCACTAAAATTGTTTTATTCCCTAAATAGCACTTAGTAATGTCTATAATGTCTAGTGATGACAAATATTTACTTAAATAATGACTAATGCATAATGACTAAAAATGCTACATTAGGAAGAAAAACACATGTGATGTTATTTAGAGAAAGTCATTATGTTTTAGTGCTATTTAAGTAAATTTCTCATTAATTTTAGTAAATTTTATAAGGGGTGCTTATATTTACAACAAATCATATATATAGCAATCCAATTGGGAAATCTATAATGTTCTTTTGGTAAAATTGATCATTTTTATCCTCTTAAACCCGCAACCCGAGCCTCACCCCCAGCCTACCATCCTAGCCCCCAGCATAAAAATACCGTTTTGGCCTGCCAAATTAGCGTTTTTAGGGAGAGGGTTAGAGAGTAAGAACAATCAATTTTATGAATGAAACACTATAAATATTTCATTTAGATTATTGTATGATTTGCTATAAAAAAATTTGTTGTAAGCATAAGCCCCCTCATTTTATAAAAGATCTTTTAAAATTGATAATTTTATTTATTTAGTTTTCTATTAGAAAAGTACATTTGGAATCCATTTATGAGTATATTTAATGATAGTCTTTTATTTGACCTTGCGTCGTGTTGGTTATAAATTAATGGCTTAAAATAAATATCGATCATAATTTTGATCATATATTCTGGTGTTGGCTTGACAAATAATATAATAATAATGAGAATAGTTGTGAACTTGAATTCTAACTAGTGACTAATTTTTTTGAAAGCAAAACATGCCATTAACTAATTAAGTGCGAAATACAAGCAGGCGGATCGGAAGGCCAAACGTTGCCAAAACATGCGCAATAGAATTAAAACGCCTTGAAAAGTAACAGAATTGAACCTGTGAAAAAGAAGAGGCCAAGAGCCTACACTCACTCTCAATAATTCCAAATAAGAACGATCATCAGCTTGCCTCCTGTTAAAGGCCTGAATGAGCAGCGAACAATCTAAAAATAAAGCAACCTCCGTGACTCCCCTCTCCTTTAGCCAAGACAATGCTTCCTTGATTGCGAAAGCCTCCCCAACTCGAGCCTCAAAAGGACAACGAAAGATTCTACTAAAGGCACCCCAAAGGACCCATCCTCCCTCAACAAGACCGCTGCCACCCCAACCGAATGTGAGCGCACGTGAAGAGTGGCATCCACCAGACACTTGAAACCCCCCCACACTGCCCCTGATGCGAGGACGACGCAAGGGGCGGACTAACTAGTGACTAATTGACTATAGCTATCAGCTATGATTGCAATGAGGCGGTGTGGGCATGTGTACAGTTCAACTATGTTTAGTTTGATTCATAATTTGTATTCGGATGGTTCCTCTCCAGGTCAATTCTGTTCAATTTATTTTTTCAGTTTATTACTTAATTGATTTGATTCGATTCGTATGCTTCCCTAGGGCGGTGACTCCAATGGATAAATGAAACATCGCCAACGATCTCTGCCGTTGATTACAACAAGAAAGATGTATAATCATTATAAAATTATACTACTTTTCACTCATTTTCTCATTTTTTTTCTCTTAAAAGTACATATATTTTCACCCCAAACACCACAAGTATAGTTCGAGAGTGTATAAGGTACATCCAGATGTATCTAGATATAGGTATACCCGAGTAGTACTCATTTTAAAGTTAAGTAGTACTCATTCTCACACAAAATAAGTATTCATTTGAAATGATATTATACTCATTCTTAAATAACGTAATACTCATTTTGAAATAACGAAGTACTTATTTTCACACATTTGTTCAATATATTTGTATTCGGTAACAAATAGCATAATGTTTATCCTTCTAAGGTCTGCGTACACACACCCTCCCCAGACCCTACTGATGTGGGATTCAGGTTGTTGTTGTTGCTTCTAAAAAAATACTCCCTCTGTTTTAAAATTAATTTCTCATTTGACTTTTCACGGTCTCCAATGCGACACTTTGACCATTAATATCTCCATTTTTATATGAATATATATTGCAAAAATAACATACTCCCTCCGTCCGGAAATGTTCTTTACATTTGACTATTCTTGATCAAAATTTGTAAACTTTGACTACGATTTGTGGAAAAAACACATTGTATTATGATGTAAATTTAATATCAACATATTCATAATGAAATGTAGTTTTCAAATATCAAATTTTTATAAAATCTATCTATGTATAAATATAAATATTCAGTGGCGGATCCAGGATATTAAATACGGAGTACTCCGTAATAGGGGTCACCTTTCGAGTGTTCTTGGACAGCTTCCCAAATTTTTTTTATACATGTAATGCGAGACTTTAAAAAAAATGAACTTACCCTTAAATAGTTATTCAAATAGTAAAAAAATAAAAAAAATTAATGCCAATATTATAAATTAGTTTAATTATCACTCCGTATATTTTTAGTGTACTACTTTAGAATTTATCTTTGCATTTTAAAGTATTTCACTTTAAAATTATATTTTTTTAATATCTAAATATTTGATTTCTCTCAGTTTTATCTTATTTAATACTATTAATTGAGGCCTCTAATACTTTTTATTAGGGTTTCTAATATTTTTAGTTGGGGTCATATATTACATAACTCTAAAAAAAAGTTAAAAAATTAAAGTACTCCGTATCACAATACACATGATAAACAAAAACTTAAAACTAGTAGGGGGCCATTGCCCCCAATTATTAAGCTATGGATCCGCCACTGTAAATATTAATGGTCAAAACGCAATATTGGAGACCGTGAAAAGTCAAATAGGAAGAACATTTCCGGATGGAGAGAGTATTTCAAAACTTTATTTCAAAATTAATCTATTGATAATTAATTTATATGAAAATTCAAAGTTAGATCGGGAGGCCAACGGAGGACGGACTGGAGGAGGGCTTCTTCTTCTTCTTCTATCGGCGCTGGACGCGAGGGAATCAAAGAGAGCACCTGGGCGCACAGCTGACGGCGAACGGAGAGCCCTCGCAGTACAGTGACGCTTCGCAAACGGGAAGCTGAATTCGGTTCTCTGCTCCCAATCGATTGGATCTCTCCTAATTTCCGCCGGCTGTAGGGTTTTTCCCGTACAGCCGGTTATAGGATAAAATTTGCGGTATAGTTCTGGATTTCAGTGTTCTGATTTTGCCTTCTAGCCATGGAATCCAATGGAGTAGAAGCATCACAAATCCTCGGAGAACTCGATTCACTTAAGGCAGACAAGCTACGAATCGAGCGACGGATCTCAGTTCTTGAAGATCAACTTCGTCGGCTCAGCGCAAACGATCAAACCAGCCTAAACTTCGTCGTCCGTCATGCTCCATTATCTAATGGAAGGTCAAGCTCCGGTCATGGTTTGTCTCCTGATGATATTCATAGATACAGTCGTCACTTGTTGCTTTCTTCATTCGGCATCAAAGGTTTGCTCTGAATTTCACTTTAAATTACTGTTATCAAACGATTTGATTTATGTAGCCCAAATATTTTTTGTTTTCATTCTCATTAGGTCAGGCAAATCTATTGAAGTCTTCAATTTTAGTTATTGGGGCTGGAGGCTTAGGATCACCTGCTCTGCTCTATCTTGCAGCTTCTGGTGTTGGTATGATACCTAGGGTACATATATTTCAGGTTCACTTATTCTTTTACTGGTTAGTGTTTTTGGAGCTTAGCATTTCCTTTTGAAACATTGTAGGTCGAATCGGCATTGTCGATCATGATGTTGTTGAGCTTACTAATCTACAAAGACAGGTACTTATCCTTTTCGAGTAAGAAAGAACAGCACTTTTACTGCTGTATTGGCCAAGGTTTTGAAAAGCAAAAATGAGTCTCGAGGCAGTGGAGAAAAATGCCTTTGAGGCGTAAGCCTCGAGGCAGAACGAGGCGTAAGCCTCAGTTTAGTTTGTAAAAAACAAAGCTAAAATGAATACTCCATGGTAATTATAGAATACATAATCCATAATCATGATGCTGAAATCTAAAGGCTTCAATTCCTGATTTTTGCAAAAAGTAATACCCTATCATAGTTTTTAAAATACAAAAAAAAAAGAGAGAATTACTCTAAAAAATTTAAACAATAACATAAAACACAAAGTCACAAACGCCTCAAATCCGTCGTCAAGCATGATAAAATGGATAAAGTTTCATGATTTTTTTATCTACTTCATGTTCATAACCCAAAATTAGACAAGTTTATTTCCACTACATAATACTATGGAATTTGTAGTTAAGCAACCTTCATACAAATTAAACAAAAACCATAGATGAAGAGGGAGAGTAATGCTGGGAAAAGAGACAGAAATTTAAAGTTGGAACAAAAACTTGAAAAAAAGGTAAAGTAATTAGAATATGAAGCAATTTTTGTCGATAAAAAAGAATATAAAGCAATTATGTTATGAAAATGGAGAGACCGAAGGAACAAAAGGTGCGTTGTAGATGGTGTGTGCTGAAGTTGAAGAAGATGGAGAGGCTGAAGTGCTACACGAGAGAAGCTGCACTGTGCTAGGTTGAAGATGGAGAGGCAGAAGTACAAGTAAAAGAAATCCTATTTATCAAGTGTAAGAAGTTTTTAACAAAAATCTAATGCCCCAGATTTTTTTAAAGGCCCAATTGTTTTGTACGGAGTATCATTTAACCCATAGGTGCTGAAATTTTAATTTGAAGCGAGGCTACCGCCTCAGTTTCGCCTCACTGCCTCGTACCACCTCGGCCTGGCAAGGCGTACGCCTCACATACCCTTACCAAGGCTTACGCCTCTGAGGCTTAAAAGGCCCGCCTCACCGCCTCGAGGCGGTCCGCCTCTAACGCCTTTTAAAACCATGGTATTGGCTAGTGATCTCAATTCATTCAAAAGGTCTTCTCTTTGGTGTTTGTGGTGTGTGCTTATGAAATCTAATTATTACTTGGAATATGTTACTTTTATTCATTTTCAATGTTAGCAGATCTGCTACACTTTGCTCATGTTGTGCTATAGATAATACATACTGAAGTAAATGTTGGATGCTCAAAGGTGGAGTCTGCTGCTGCTGCTTGCCGCGCGTAATTTCCTCTATTTGGCAGTTTTTCATCGATTATTGATTTTTTAAAGACTAGAAATGACATCATTAATTTCTGTCTTAAAACTCATGTTTGGTTTTGTAGGATTAACTCTTCCATTCAGATTGTTGAACACAAAGAAGCATTCCGTACATCCAATGCTTTGAAGATCGCAAGCCAGTATCCTTTCCAATACACTTTGTGCTTGGATGTTGTGTGTTGAATATATTGGTGTCAAATCTTCTTGTTTTTCATTTGTCTGTTCACTTTCCATGACTCAAATCTATCAATAGATATGACATTGTCATAGATGGAACAGATAATGCTCCTAGTCGCTACATGATCAATGATTGCTGTGTCGTGTTGGGAAAGGTTATATTTCTTTCTGTGATATTGATTTACTGTCAAATACTGTATGTAATACTCCCTTTGTCCCATAAAATCCTTGACACTTTTAATTCACAGAGTTTAAGAAAGTTGTTGAAAAGTAAAAAGTGTGTGGTTAGAATTTGTTTAGACGAGAGAGAATTGTTGGTAGCCACATTCATTACCCAAATAGGGAATAAAGTAAGGTATTTTTAGGGCATTCAGAAAAGCAAAGTGTAAGGAATTAAATGGGACGGAGGGAGTACATGATATGTGAATTTGTTAGTCCTTGGTTTGAGTTTATGCACAAGGGTTTGATTCTATAAACAATTGATGCAAAAAGTTTTGACATACTCTGTTTTTTATAAAGTTGGATTAATGGTAATTGGTGTCATTTTGTACCGATCACTTTCTGTTGCTATGCTTGTAGCCTCTTATATCCGGAGCTGCAATTGGTCTAGAAGGCCAGGTATCATTTATAGTAGATTATCATCGTTTTACCCTTTTATTATAAACTTTCTGACACTGAGATGAGTTCCTTTGCACTTATCACATATTCTTTTTTCGTGTACTTATCATTATAGTTGACAGTATACAATTACAATGGAGGTCCATGTTATAGGTGTCTGTTTCCAACCCCACCCCCCACAACTGCATGCCAGAGGTGCTCAGACAATGGTGTATTAGGTGTAGGTATGTTAATGTGGGATTCCTCTAAGTCACTGGATTAGTTATTTATTTAATGAGAATTGGATACGTCATAAATGTCTTCCCTTGTCTTATATTTGGAATTTTGTGAAAAGCGAGATCTTAGTATCCAAATCTTGTGGTTTTGTTAAAGTTTAAAATGAAGAAAATGACCTGTCTTTAAGAACGATTCAGCCTGATTTTGTTTGTACAATAACTTTTTTCCCAGTGATTTTTGCTGGTAATGATTTTTTTTAAAAAATAAGTGTAACCAATTGATGGATTTATCATGATTTTTCTCAGTCGGGCAAAACTGTGTTTATTTTTAAAAGGTTGAAAATTCACTCCAGTTATTAAACTAGTCAGTTTGCTTTCCCATCCAATCCACAGTTCCTGGAGTTATTGGATGCCTTCAAGCCCTAGAGGCTATAAAAGTTGCAAGTGAGATTGGTGAACCACTCTCTGAGCGGATGCTTCTGTTCGATGCCCTGTCAGGACGAATACGTATGGTATGTCCTAAAGTCAATGCTCTTCATATTATAGAGTGTTATCTCATAGAAGATATAAGTTTGTTTTGTCTGGTTCTTGTCTGCATTTCCTAATTCCAAAATGTTTTGTTTACTCAGGTGAAGATTCGAGGAAGATCATTGCAATGTAAAGCTTGTGGTGACAGTGAACCACTGACAAAACAGCAATTTGAAGATTTTGACTATGAAAAATTTACTCAATCGCCAATTATTACGGTGTGCATTGTTTTCATTTTTCACTTCCTTTTGTAAATTTTTTCATTCTCAAGTAAACCTCATTTTAGTGTGAAGAGAAAAACAAATGTGTGAAGTAACCAAGGTTGTTAGGGGGGGGGGGTAGAGGATCGTAAATCGTGGATCAAGATCCTAAAATAGTAATGTCAAAGGAACTACTAGCGGAAGAAATATTAAATTCAACAAATATTCTAAAATTCAAGCATAAAGGGGATTTCAGTATGTGTAAGGGTCCTTAACCCTGAAAGTACTATCGAAAGATAATATGGAAAAAATAGGGAGTAACATTAAGAGAGATTACTTCGGGAGGTTTAAACTCAATAAATTTATTTTAAATATTTGTTCAAACTCATTTCATTTTTTTATTCTTACCATTTGTTTTCCTCTCCCTAGAATTTCAGGCTCCAAACACACCCTAATAGTTTAGCCATGATTGTCTGTGGACAAAAGGCCTGCGTAGCCTCATTCTGGTTTTCGCCTTCCTTGATTGTTCATCAACAGAATTAGTCCTCTTCATTTCATGGCTTAATTTTTGAGTACTGTTGATAATGATTTCACAGGGTCCATTGAAGCTGAATCTTCTTCCACCAGAAGCTAGAATCAGCTGCAGCGAGTACAGGGAGAAAATTTCAAAAGGCGAAGCCCATGTATTACTAGATGTACGCCCGGCACACCATTACAAGATTGCCTCACTTCCCAACTCCATAAACATCCCACTCCCCGATTTGGAGGATCGGCTTGCTGAGCTTTCTGAAATGCTACGTGGTGATGATAATAAGGAAGAGGGCAGTCAAGAATCATGTGTCTCTCTTTATGTCCTTTGCAGAAGAGGCAATGATTCACAGAGGGCTGTTGAATGCCTCCACAGGGCAGGCTTCTCTTCGGCAAAGGACATAATAGGCGGCCTTGCGGCGTGGACCCAGGAGGTGGATCCTCAGTTCCCATCATACTGGTAATAAAATCACATCATATTGTTATGGAGAAATGATTTTAGTCTAATTTATTACTGATGTCCGTTCGTAAAATTGACTGTTCCTACCCCTAACCCTCCGGTGAACCCCCACTTCGGCCCGAACTGGCTCCCACCCCTGTCAATTCACCACAAATTTAGTTGACTTTGGAGTGAAAAATTATTCATTCCGAAATCAACTTTGGAAAGGGGAAAATGACTTTGGAAAGTCATTTTCCCCTTTCTTGATCTTTGGCAAAGACAAAAAAGTGAAGTCAACAGGAAAATCAACATGAAAATGGAGGCACAAATCGTGATTTTGTCTTCAGGAAAATTCGATCCGGTGTTGCTAGAGGTGCAAAGGAATGAAAGGATGCCATTTTTGCCGGCGACAACGATGGAAACATAGTCTATCAAATGATGTTTGGTTAAATTTTGATTTTCTTCCGAGACCGTCAAAGATTTGATTTTCTTCAAATGTTTGGTTCTTATTTTCTTCAGTGATTCTATCGTGGGCATGTCTAATTTTTGGTAATGAATTGATTAATTTTGTTTGTTCTGGTTTGATTTTTGCTTCCAAATAAATATTCATCTTCTGGAAAATGAACCGAACAAGAATAGAATATGGAATGTTCGTACTTTCACCCAAACACCCCAAAAACTATTGGATATTTTCCTCAAAATGGAAAATGAAGTCAAATTTAACAACTTGATAAGTCTTTTTCAATATTGGCGGCTACATCAAAATGTTGTGTATGAAATAAATGGGTTATGTCAATAAACTAGAGTGCTAAGAGCATGAGCAATGGAGAGGCAAAAATGGAGTGCCACATGCTTACATGGAATGCTATAGCCAATAAAAAACAGCCTAGTCAGCGTGTGGCAAAGGTGTGGAGTGAAGTGTCGTGCAGTGGCAAGTCTCTATTTTTGTCATTTTTTACTTTTTTAATTAAAAATTAATTTACTTATCTTTTTCATAAAAATAGATGTACTCATTTTTAGAAAAAAAAACTTGAATAGAGTAACAATCCTTACTGTCAAAGTCATTATTATTCTTATTTACATTTTTTGATGTACTTTAAATTTTTTAAAAAATACTTTTAATATTTTTTTTATCATAAAAATATATATATTTCCAATACTTTCATAAAAAGTTTATTTGTTTCTTAAGATAAAAAAAGAGAGAAAAGGGTTTTGGCAGTAATGGAAATATATTCGGTTTTTCCTTTTTGCACTTGGTGGATTTATAATCAACTAGCTACGTTATTTCTTCTAGTAGCTTCAAAATAGGGAATGAAAAAAAAATCTTCATTTTCAATTCTCTACACCAATCCTCACAAAAGAAAAGCAAAAAAGAGAATAAAACTGACTCGCCTATGACACGCTAAGAGAGGTGCATGCCTAAAAAAATGACTTGCAAATAAGGGTGGAGGCTGATGTGGCATGGCATGGCAAGGCTTTGCCTTTCCGCTGCCAATGCTCTAACTACGTCATGGATCATTTTCAAAATAAAAAAATCGTAAGGATGATTTAATAGTTTTTTATGAGCAAATTTCATAATTGGTCCTTTATAACAGGGGGTTTCCATATTTAGTCCTCTATTATCAAATATTACCTCCGTAGTCTTTTTTTTAAGGGTACCTTTCCACAAATGGTCCTTTTTTGATCTTCTGCCGTGTTGGTGTTAATTTAAAGGCTAAAAATATAATTTGACGTCAACATTATGTCTAGTGACGTGTTCTGATATTGGTTAAGCGGATAACACAAAAATAATGACTATGATTGTGGGCTAGAATTCTGACGAAAGATCACATTTGTAGACTATAGTTGTCGTAAAAAGCGACTGTAATTCACAAACGACGCAAACGGAACAGCCTTTGGAATTGTGTATGACAAAAAAGATATATTATCATTGTAAAATTACACTTTTAGCCCTCAAATTAACACCAACATGATAGAAGATCAAAAAAAAGACTATTTGTGGAAAGGTACCTATAAAAGAAGGATCACTTGGGTAATATTTGACAATAGAGGACTAAATAGAGAAACCCCCCTGTTATAAAGGACCAATTATAGAATTTACTCTTTTTTTATTTACTGAACCAAAAACAAGATTTGCGTATTTTATAGGGACTAAAAGCATATTTAACCCTTAAAAGTCCTTATCAATTAAAAATTAAATACTCCGTATATAACAATAAAATATAAAGTATTACTCCCTCTAGATCTTCCCATTGCGCGTTACGAGGCTTGACCGACTTTATTTTCAATTCAATTTATTTGAATATAGGGGTAAAAATTTAATATAAAATATATATAGTAATAAAGTACATGAAAAGTTTTACAAAACTAGAGGTGACAACACTATATTATTTTATGAAATTAGTAGTAAAAATAAACAAACAAAGTGAATTAAGTTTGACCCTGTGAATAGTGTCTGAGAAGATCTATGGTGGACAGAGGATTATTTTAATTATAGTTGACTACGGTTCAACCTGTAACACCTTAACCCGCGTACCTCGAACCAACGAGTTAGCGAACTGGTTGCTACTAAATTGGTATTCATACGCACAATAATTCAAAACATTTAAAGTAACATAATGTGCGTATGAATTATTAAAATGTTACTTTAAACGTTGCTTTAAATGTTTTGTAATTACCCGCGTAACATTTAAAGTTACATAATGTGCGTATGAATTATTAAAAGTAACTTACCGATTTAGTTAAGTTACTTTAAATGTTTTGAATTACCCGCGTAACTCGAACCAATGAGTTAGTTCCCAATTTTAAAAGTATTTTGGATTCGGATCGGACCGTTTATTTTAAACTTCAATATTATTTTTAATTTTTAGTAAATACTCCGTACTAAATACACTGGGTCACAGGCCGCCTTAAGCCTTACTAGTTACGAAGGAGTTAAACCCTAAGACCTTCAATTCGCCGAACTGGGAATCGCAGAGAATCCAGAGATCGCCGAGCTTCAGAGAACAGAGAACGCCGAAATCGCCGAGCTTGTCTAACGCCGAAATCGCCGGTTCGCACGCAGAAGTTGCCGGTTCTTTCGAATTGGGCAGGCAGAAATTGCCGAGCCTCCGAGCACAGAGAACGCAGAAAATAGCCAAGCTTCCTGTGGTGTGTTTCCCTTTATCTTTTAATATTAGTAGTATCATGATAACAGGTCAGTTTTGTATAGTATGTGGGTGTGTTCCTAAGCCAGTTTTTGTCTGGGCTGGGAAGTGCAAACTGCAAGGCAATTGAGATTTGGTCTAGTAAATGGGTAGATTAGTCCAGGGAGGCAAAAATGTAAATAACACCATTTTTTTATTACTCTTAAAAATAAAAAAAGAACTTAACAAACACCAAATAAACACTGAAGGGTCCGTTTGGTACACGGAATTGATGGAATTGGAATTTAATTGAATTCACCAATTCCTATTCATTTTTTACACTACCAATTCCAAATCCACATAATTTTTGTGCTACCAAACACCAGAATTAGAATTGAAGCCTTCAATTCCAATTCCATAGTTTGAATTCCGTGTACCAAACGAGGCCTGAACAAACATTCAAACACAAACACCGGACAAGCACGATAATTTATTACACAAACACGGAACAAGCACCGGAATTTATTTAGACGATGGGTTGACACACAAACCCGCACTTGGGTCACACATTAGATTCCCTACGCCTTTGACGAGGAGCTCCCATCCCCTCCCTCGGCTAGCAGCTTGTCCCGTTCGTTCTCCAAGGAGGCTAGATATTTCTC